GGGGGAGGAAGAGAGGTCGGTGGGAGAGGAGCTCCGAAAGGCGCTTCTGAGCACGCAGGGCTCCGGGGCTGTAGGAACCGCCGGCCCAGCTGAGCCCGGAGACGTTCGCCACTCTCCTCACGTCATCCTCTACCCCGCGGTAGCGACGACACCGGGGCGGGGCCTGCGGCCAGCTGGGCGGAGCCTGCGGCGACGGAGGTCTCTGGTGGGCGTGACCTGTGGGGTGGGCGTGGCCTGCGACTGGGCGGGCTCAATGACGCACCGCCCCTGGCTCCTCGCCCGGAGCGGTAGCTGGAAGGCGCCGCGCAGGTTGGGGTATGGGGAGCCTCCTGGCCTGCGCTGTTCACACCAGGTTGAGGATTGAGGTAATTTCTCCGCGCCCGCTGCTGCACATTAGTAAACACGCAGCATATATCTGTTTGAGCCTCTGACGACAATGTGTAGGCGAAACTCCTAGTGGAATTGTCCACGTCCTTGGCGTTCTGGTGAGCTCTGCCCGAGAACAGGGGCGAAGTCCCGCAGCCACACTGGTGGGTTCGTCCGCCCTGACGTTGGGCTAGATGTCGTTTTTAAGGGATATATATTACATACACACACACACAAATATTTTGAACGATTAGTTTGCGATCTGAAATTGACCTAATATTCTTGTCACACATTTATTCGCATTTGAATCAGTGCATCAGCATCCTTCCAAGGGCCACATTTATTAAATGCATATTTAATTTAAAAGATGGATCTATTATTTGGGCAACAGCGGAGCGTTCAGTAAGTGCCACTTCCTTGAATGACTTATTTTTAATCAAAATTTTATTTAAAGCAGATTAATCATTATCCAGTGTTGCTATTGTCTTCCACCTTTGAAAGGTAAGGAGGGAAAACTGAAAATTACATATTGGGGGGGGGTACCAGCCATTGAAAACTCAGGGGCACTGGACCACTGAGCCACACCCCCATCCCTATTTTGTATTTTATTTAGAGACAGGTCTCACTGAGTTGCTTAGCGCCTCGCTTTTGCTGAGGCTGGCTTTGAACTAGAGATCCTCCTGCCTCAGCCTCCCCAGATGCTGGGATTACAGGCAATGCGCCACCTGGCAGGGCTGGAATTTACGTCTTTAATTCTTATTACTTCCCACAATAAACTAAAGGAAAAAATCTAAATCATACCTTTTAGGCTGTAGGTTTTAAGGCAATGCATAAATTTACTTCAGAGTAGCTTGAATTTGAGGGGAATACTTCCTATCCCAGTCAAATTATTTGTTCCTCTCCTATCCCTGCCAACACTTTTTTCTCACAATTCTAAATGGAACTTTCCCCTGAAAGTCCTCTTTAGATCAGGTCTAAAAGGCCTTAGCAGATGCCAAGATTGCCTACCTTTCCAAACTTTTTGTGTGTATTTACTTCAAAATATTAACAACCAATTGAATGTCTCTCGACAAATCTTCCCTTTTGTCTTGTTCAGTACAGTTGCAAGTTTGCTGGTGAAATGTCAAAATTTCTCATTTTAAATTCAAGGCAAGTGAACAGTTACATATTTATGTGTACATGCTTATACACTTAGTCCAGCAAAATGTTTAGTCGTTAGCAGAACAACCCTAACTCAGGAATAAGTATTGTTTCACTTTCATCTGAAGTTTTTTCAACTTTCTGGACTTAAATGATTCTTTAGGACTCCCAAGGGCACTGGAGTAATTTCCAAGATACCCTACTTTAAGGTATCCTAGCAGATATTCCAAAGTATTTGGGGGCTATTCCTACTTCAGAGTAAGCCAGTGTTCTAACTGCACTCTATTTTTCAAACCTTTGGATCATCTCAGATGCAGAATATCTTCTCTAGTCTCTCTAGTAAACTCTATCTAGCATAAATTGGGATATTTTAACATATCTACATGTGTCATTCTGCATGTTACATGGAAACCAATGGTAGTGTTATGAACAATCATATGCAAGATTCAGAAGCAGCACATTAACTCAAAGCAACTCACCCAAATCACAGGTACAAAAGAACAGTCGTAACTCCAGCCAGAGAAGTAAAAAATCCAGATTTACATCTAGTCCTAGAAATAGGACTGACCATATCTACACCTTCAGTGACTGTCCCACTCCTTTATTACTCTGAAGCCACATTTGCCTGTTTTCTATAATGCTTACAAGTCTCTTCCAGGCTGGAGAGTCTTTGTTCTTGTTCTCTGAACTGACCACTCAGTCTAAATAAAACATCATTAGTGAGACCTTCCCTAATATCCAAATTTATCTACACTTCAATTCCCAAGTCAGTCTCTATCACATGGTCCTGCTTTATTTCTTCAACTGCACTATTTAAAATTCCTATTAATGGTCCGTTTCTCTCCAATAGGATATAAGGTCAGGAGACTGTGTATTTTTCTCAGCTGAATCCCTAATGTGTAACCTAATACATCCATCACAGAAGACAATACATTTATGTTAATGAATTGATGAATTCACTCAAATTATTCAACGCAAACTAGATTTGTAGTAATCATACAGTCTTTAATAAAATTCTTCATAGGAAAGAACTACCCTCATCTTCAAAGCAAGGATCTAATTTTACTAATTTAAGAATTGTTCTCTTTTCAAGGCTGTACCTTTAAATGAAATAAATACTGACACATTTCTACATACACAGCAGTTTTATTAAATATACTTTGGAGGAAAAAGAACTCTCTGAAGTGCCAAATTTCATTTAAATCAGATAGCTTAGTAAATATGAAAAAAATCAAAGAGGGAAGCATGATTTAAATAATGTCATAAAAGAGAACATACCTTAATTTTCATATAACATACCATAATTTTCATATAAGAAAACAATCATCAAAATATAAAAGGGAAAGAAATCTCTTGTAGAAGAATATATTTCAAAATTACACCTACTGATCATTTCACTTAAAAAATTCTATTCTAAACACAAAGTCACTCTCACTCTTACCATGATTGTTTTAATCAGTAGGAGGAGGAGGATTTAAACTATTCATTCACACTGAGATAAAGTGACAGCATTTTTGTTGCATAGCAGTATTGCTTACTGGCACTGAAAGTGGGGGATGGAGGAAGTAGATTTTTGGATTCTATTGTAAGCAGTAGAATAGCCTACTGTTAAAATTCAGTGAAAAAAAATGGGTCTCAAGCTTTAGGTACCCCTAAGTAACACAAACATTAAACAAACATTGCCAATTTATAGGAGACTGTGAAAGAAACGTAAAAATACTCTTGTTGAATATTAGCTTTATGTTACTTTTACTAATAGAATATGCCTACTGAATATCTTCTAAATTATATAGGTTTAATTATACACCTAAACTACTATTGGTATATGAAGCTAACAGGATAGTATCCACCTGTTTTAGCCAATGTCTCGCTACAAGTATTTGGAAGGAATCAGGTGAGAAATAACTATATGCACATTCATAATGAGTATTTGTAAAAGAAATATTCACATATCAGACATCCACAAAGGGGAGTGTTACATATATTGTGGGGACAAAATAAATACTTGTTGGCTGATTGACTGATTATATATACCATTTAAGCAAAACTGAGTAATTCAAGTACAAAACATGTACACATGCACATATTTCTCTAATAACGTCCTACAAACATATAGTATATGCTACATGCCATAGATAAAGCTGCATTACTGAACTAGGAGTTTAAAGTAGCAATACAGTTAAAATTAAGCTTTAAAGAAAAAGCTCCTGCTCCTTAAACAAGAGAATGAAATTTGTGATTTATTTAAGATTAGTTCTCATTTGTAAAAAAGTTTTAATATTAATGAACAATACTTGCCACTTTAAAATTTTAAACAGTATAGAAATTTATAGAAAGTTAAATTTTTAGACCACTTTACATAGTTGGAGAAAAAATAAAAGGATTAGACTGGATTATGACTTTGAATACATTAGATCACAACTAAATAACACACCAAAGAAGTCAAAACACATTCACAGCAGAACCTGCAAAACAAGAGAAAACTGTTTTTTTACTGATTTTTTTAACTATAGAAAAAGAATGAATTAATCTTGCCTTTTAAGACTTTTAGGAAACAAAAGTAATTTAATCATGAAATATCAGTTTAATAACAAACATTCTACTGTCAGTATGTTATTGGTAAGTAAATGATGTTATCCAAAAAGATGATAATTCTAACTAATATGAATAGGATGTCAAACTCATTAATGAATACATCTATTTTAAACATACAAATCTCTGATTTGATACCCACTACATTTCATAATTCTGTAAACTGTGAGGCATTCAATGTGTTTAATGTGGCAGACGACCATATTAGTTTCATTATTTTATTCTGTTCAGTCCTTTTCCCATTAAGCATGCAAACACCGTCATAACCATCTTTGGTTTTACTTCTACGAGGTCATCAGGTAATGCATAAATCCGAGCACCAATCTTTCGAGCAACTGAAATGGCATATCTTGAAAAGACAAGAAAAATATTTTGTTATTTGTATATCTACAGTGTTTTCACAGTAAAATAAAAATATTTATTTTAACAATTCAATATTTTGATAAGTTAAAGTTGTGATTCTTAGATCATATTCCAGGCTGGGGATGTGGCTCAAGCGGTAGCGCTCTTGCCTGGCATGCGTGCGGCCCGGTTTTGATCCTCAGCACCACATACCAACAAAGATGTTGTGTCCTCCGAGAACTTAGATCATATTCCCCTTGCAAGTTGTACTTAAAAATATACTGGACAATTGAGTAACACAAAAAAGTCAAAATACATTTTGACTGAAATTGAATATCTTGACAAGACAATCCTTTCCCTGGAAGGATTTGAGAGAATTAAAAGGCCACTATGTTCTAAAGACTTACTTAGCATTGTTCAGTTTATCCTCATCAGAAAGGTTTTCTCTCTTGATCATTTCTTGACGAACTGCATTTGGTGCAATGGCATCTATTAAATCTAGAACTGGTAAACTTGTGCTAATAGATTTATCCTAGGAAATAAAGCATAGATGAATGTTCTTAAACATCTTACCATTAATTTTCACACATGTCAGTCTCTTCTGGTCATAGCATTTAACTAAATATAATCTATAAATTTTCTTTGTACTTAATTTTAAGCATTTTCGTAACCAGCACACAAAATCCTTTAAAATACTCCTTTTTCTTCAGTATTTCTACAAATTATAGTGAAAAGAGTTATCACATACCTGAATAAAGTTTTGGGATATAAATATTCCTAAGTGTGCTAACTATAGTATCCTGTGAAAAACAACTTTTGAAAGGGAATAGGAGATAGGTTTTAAATTAATAATTTTATAAATTCTGGTAATATTTTTTAGACCATGAATTACAAGTCTTTACTTAATATTTTTTAGAAAGAAAAATTAAATAGTGAAAGGGAAATAACATTTACAAAGGATTGTTCCTGTTGCTTTACATATTTTAGCTTATTTAATCCTCTTTTGAAAATCCTAACATCCTAGTAAAAAAGGAATTATAAAGCCTCTTTTAAAGATAAAGAACATGATTAAGTTGTGTTTAACACAACCAGTAAATACAAAACAAGTATTAGAACCCATGACAATCTGACTCTAATGTCTAAGATACTTTGCATTTTGAAGTTACCTCGAATGTGAATTAAAAATGGATAACTAGATTCTAGTGGATAGAGTGCTGTAGGTGAAGAAAAAAATCTCTGATCTGAGTTGATTTTGCCACTTACCGGTACTTGAACAAATTATTTGTTCTTTTTCTCAGCTTGAATAATGGCCACTATTACTTGCCTGCCCAGCATCCACTCACTCCTTACTTCTTTATCCATTCTAACAGAACTCATATTTTTGCAATGTACCCATTCCTCCCCCAAATGTATGGTGCTTCAAGGAAAGCTGATCCCATCCAGAGCTTCAAGGAGTGAATTTGAAGTCTAGGACATTCTCTCTTAATTCAAGGCAGGGCAATAAACTTATTCTTTATATGTATAAAGCATACAGTGTGCATAAACAGATATTCAGTGTACATCAGTGTATATTTACATTAAAATTTCACAGGAGAAGGGCGGTTAGGGAACAAGTGTCTAAAAATACTGCTGAGAGGGACAATAATGGGAAAAAAAAGTTTAAAAAAAAACACTCTAGCTTGCTACCACAGTGATTTTAATTTGGGTTTAATTTAATTAGACTATAGAAAGCCAGCAACCCCTCCTCCTCAATATGAATGAGAGGATGAAACCTCTGTCACAACCAGCACCTATCCTATAATCAAGAGGAGAACCAGCTTTGGGGTGAATTTGGCATGTTAGATGGCAAAGCAGAGTTGGGAAAAAACCCTGAGTCCTGAATGACATTCTTCAGTTACTAGCTCAGTTAGTCCTTACATCTACCCTACCTCTCCATTTGTTATTGTATTAACTACCTTTCCTTTTGTCCTAAGCCACATTAAATTGGATTTCTGTTTCTTGAAGCCAAACTATACCTTTTCCTAATTTCTAAAATAGGAATGTCACAGGATTCTTGGGAATATTATGATAATACAGGTGAAAGCATCTAGTACAGTTCATAGCCAAATGTGGTTTTTGTTTTGTTTGTGGTTCCAGGGATTGAATTCAGGGGTGCTCGTACCTAGCTCTTTTTATTTTTTTATTTTGAAATAGAGTCTTGTTATGTTGCTGATGCCACATTGAATTTGTGATTCTCCTGCCTTAAGTCTCCCAAGTAGCTGGGATTACAAGCATAAGGCATGTGCCACTGCACCTAGCCAAATGTGGGTTCCTTTTTCACATTTGTAATTGATGCATTATAATTATTCTCCAGAACCTTCCCTTTTCCTCCGTGCCTCCTTCCCCCGATCTGCCTGCTCTGCTCTACTGATTCCCTTCTCTAGTTATTATTAATTAGTGCACTATCATTATATATATATATATATATAAGCAAGATTCACTGTAGTATATTTGTACTTGGGCATAGAATAATTTAGTAGTTTGTTCCTTAGTACTTCCCATGCCTTCCCCTGCTCCCCACCCC